TGACATACTACTACTTAGTGTTAAGTAGTCTGTAACCCAATAATGTTAAGTTGGCCCATAATGCCTAGGCATAATAGAGGCTCTCTTTGTATTACAACCCACTATTGTATATACACAATCTCAATGTACTGTGCAAAGACATTAAATAAATAAATAAATAAATAAATAAATAAATAAATAAAATATATACACATACATACATACATACATAAAGCAAATATCGCAAACCAAGAGATACAAGATGCAAAACAGCCACGGGGGGAGTAGAATGATAGCTTTAGGCCTTTCGTGTTGCAATCAACACATCATCAGGAGCTTGCAAAATTCCAGAAAAGAGGAGGGTTTCCACGCAATTTTGCAAGCTCCTGATGATGTGTTGATTGCAACACGAAAGGCCTAAAGCTATCATTCTACTCCCCCCATGGCTGTTTTGCATCTTGTATCTCTTGGTTTGCAATATTTTCTTTATGCATGTATGTATGTATGTATGTATGTATGTATGTAATTCAAACCAGAGGTGGACCCCATTATATATATATATAATATATATATATATATATATATATATATATATATATATATATATATATATATATATATATATATATATATATATATATATATATATAATACATACAGTGGACCCCCGCATAACGATTACCTCCGAATGCGACCAATTATGTAAGTGTATTTATGTAAGTGCGTTTGTACGTGCATGTTTGGGGGTCTGAAATGGACTAATCTACTTCACAATATTCCTTATGGGAACAAATTCGGTCAGTACTGGCACCTGAACATACTTCTGGAGTGAAAAAATAAAGTTAACCGGGGGTCCACTGTATACATATATACAATGGTCCCTCGTTGTTCGTAATTAATCCGTTCCTGGAGCCGTTACTAAAAACGAAATTTACGATTTACGAATCAATTTTCCCCATAAGAAATAATGTAAATACAATTAATCCGTTCCTGACAATCAGAAGTATTAAAACAAAAAAATTTTTAACATGAAATGTACATGTAGTACATAAACAATACAATGGGAAATGATGAATAAAACATTAACAGCATAACACTTACCTTTATTGGAGATTCTTCTTAGTGTATAGGAGACTGGTGGAGGAGGAGAGAGTGGATTGTTTATAGTTTGGAAGGGGAATCCCCTTCCATCAACTCCTCAGGTACCATTTGCTTTTCTGGGGTTGCTTCTCTTCTCTGTTTCTTAATGCCACTAGGACCACCTTGAGAGTCACTAGAGTCCTGTCTCACAAAATAACTGTGGAGAGAGCTCTGTTTCTGGCGTCTCTTTAACACTTTCCCTAAAATGGGCCCAAGACTTTGTCACTGTACATGTTGCCAACCTGGCTTGCAACAACCTTGTTAGGGTGATGTTTCTCCATAAAGCTTTCCATCTTACCCCACATAGTAAAAATCTCTTTAATTTCTGAAGAAGGCACCTTCTTCCATCTCTCTTCCTCCTCCTCTGCAGCAAGATTCTGAGCTGCGATGTGTTGCTCTTCCTGCTGAAGCTCTTGCAGCTCCTCAGTGGTGAGCTCTTCATTGTGGTCTTCCACCAATTCTTCCACATCCTCCAAACTGACATCCAACCCCACGGAACTCCCCAGTGCCACAATTGATTTTACAACAGACATAGGCTCATTAGGGTCAGTCCCAAATTCTTCAAAATCCCTCTTGTCGACACAATCTGGCCACAATTTTCTCCAGGCAGAGTTCAAAGTCCTGGTAGTCCCTCCCTCCCAAGCCATACCTATAAGGGTTATGCAGTGGAGGATGCTGAAGTGTTCTCTCCAAAATTCCCTTAGGGTCAAGTGAGTGTCTGTGGTCACAGTCAAGCACCTGTGAAACATTGTTTTTGTGTAGAGTTTTTTAAAGTTTGCAATAACCTGCTGGTCCATGGGTTGGAGGAGAGGAGTGGTATTCGGGGGCAAGAACTTTACTGTGATGAACCCAAACTCCTCGAAAATTAGGTCATCCAAGTTTGGAGGATGAGCAGGTGCATTGTCCATTACTAGCAGGCACTTGAGATCCAATTTCTTTTCCAGGAGATACTCCTTCACACTAGGGCCAAACACTTCATTGAACCACATATTTTTCAGCCGCCTTGTGGTCCGAACTGGCAGCCTCACCATGCCTTACCACACTGTGTATGCCAGTACGGTTCTTAAATCTCTCAAACCAGCCTTTGCTGGCCTTAAATTCACTCACTTCAACACTATTTGCAGGCAATTTCTTTACCAAATCTTCATGCAACTGCCTAGCCTTTTCACAAATAAACGAAGTCATAAGAGTATCTCCTGCTAATTGTTTCTCATTTATCCACACCAATAATAACTTCTCAACCTCTTCCAGTACTGGTGATCTCATTTTTGTCAGCACAGTTACTCCCTTTGCAACAACAGCATCCTTGATTTCCTTTTTCTTTTCCACTATGGAACATAAGGTTGTGTAGGGTTTCTTATACATCCTGGACAGTTCGGCCACACTTGTACCACTTTCATATTGTTCAATGATGGTTTTCTTAAATTCAATCATATTTCTCACCCTCTTCACCACAGGCTTGGCACTAGGAGCTTTCTTTGGAGCCATGGTAGCTTATTTAGTACTTGCAAGCACTAAAATAAATGGAATATTATGAAATATTTCGCTGGAGCACGTGAGGGGACCTTCGCTCACTGGTAAACAATGCCAGACTGGCTGCCGCCCTGGCTCACGCCGTGGGTACGCGTCCCGGACGAACTACGACTCGCGAGTCAACCTATGAAAAGCGAGTCCATGTTTATACGAAAATACCTCTATGATTGGCGAATTTTACGATTGCCGGGAACTACGAAAAGCGGGGGACCACTGTATATATATATATATAATGGGGTCCACCTCTGTGTGAATTACATACATAGTAAATACTTACTATATATATATAATATAAATATATATATATATATATATATATATATATTATATATATATATATATATATATATTTATTATCACACTGGCCGATTCCCACCAAGGCAGGGTGGCCCGAAAAAGAAAAACTTTCACCATCATTCACTCCATCACTGTCTTGCCAGAAGGGTGCTTTACACTACAGTTTTTAAACTGCATCATTAACACCCCTCCTTCAGAGTGCAGGCACTGTACTTCCCATCTCCAGGACTCAAGTCCGGCCTGCCAGTTTCCCTGAACCCCTTCATAAATGTTACTTTGCTCACACTCCAACAGCACGTCAAGTATTAAAAACCATTTGTCTCCATTCACTCCTACCAAACACGCTCACGCATGCCTGCTGGAAGTCCAAGCCCCTCGCACACAAAACCTCCTTTACCCCCTCCCTCCAACCTTTCCTAGGCCGACCCCTACCCGCCTTCCTTCCTTACAGACTGATACACTCTTGAAGTTCATTCTGTTTCGCTCCATTCTCTCCACATGTCCGAACCACCTCAACAACCCTTCCTCAGCCCTCTGGACAACAGTTTTTTGGGAATCCCGCACCTCCTCCTAACTTCCAAACTACGAATTCTCTGCATTATATTCACACCACACATTGCTCTCAGACATGACATCTCCACTGCCTCCAGCCTTCTTCTCGCTGCAACATTCATCACCCATGCTTCACACCCATATAAGAGTGTTGGTAAAACTATACTCTCATACATTCCCCTCTTTGCCTCCAAGGACAAAGTTCTTTGTCTCCACAGACTCCTAAGTGCACACCACTCACCCTTTTCCCCTCATCATTCTATGATTCACCTCATCTTTCATAGACCCATCCGCTGACACATCCACTCCCAAATATCTGAATACATTCATCTCCTCCATACTCTCTCCCTCCAATCTGATATTCAATCTTTCATCACCTAATCTTTTTGTTATCCTCATAACCTTACTCTTTCCTGTATTCACTTTCAATTTCTTCTTTTGCACACCCTACCAAATTCATCCACCAATCTCTGCAACTTCTCTTCAGAATCTCCAAGAGCACAGTGTCATCAGCAAAGAGCAGCTGTGACAACTCCCACTTTGTGTGATTCTTTATCTTTTAACTCCACGCCTCTTGTCAAGACCCTCGCATTTACTTCTCTTACAACCCCATCTATAAATATATTAAACAACCACGGTGACATCACACATCCTTGTCTAAGGCCTACTTTTACTGGGAAATAATTTCCCTCTTTCCTACATACTCTAACTTGAGCCTCACTATCCTCGTAAAAACTCTTCATTGCTTTCAGTAACCTACCTCCTACACCATACACCTGCAACATCTGCCACATTGCCCCCCTATCCACCCTGTCATATGCCTTTTCCAAATCCATAAATGCCACAAAGACCTCTTTAGCCTTATCTAAATACTGTTCACTTACGTGTTTCACTGTAAACACCTGGTCCACACACCCCCTACCTTTCCTAAAGCCTCCTTGTTCATCTGCTATCCTATTCTCCGTCTTACTCTTAATTCTTTCAATAATAACTCTACCATACACTTTACCAGGTATACTCAGCAGACTTATCCCCCTATAATTTCTGCACTCTCTTTTGTCCCCTTTGCCTTTATACAAAGGAACTATGCATGCTCTCTGCCAATCCCTAGGTACCTTACCCTCTTCCATACATTTATTAAATAATTGCACCAACCATATATATATATATATATATATATATATATATATATATATATATATATATTATATATATATATATATAATATATATAATATATATTTGTTATTAAAGTGTGTGGATATGTTGATATTGTCTTGTGCATCTGTATGTTAGGCCCAGAGTCCATTAATTAAGGATGGTAACGTGAGCTTTGTAGCTCCAGACTCCATTGTTTACGTACCTGAATGTTGCATGTGTAGCTTGTGCATCTATACACATATACACTTTTGTTTACACATGTATACATACATATACACATCTGTATACATACAAATTGAAAATATTGTTTATCATAGGATAAAAAAAACACAAAGGACATATATAAAGTTAATATATTTGTTTATAATTGATTATTATAGTTTTGTAGTTTGTTAGCAGCAAGAGTCTGGTTGACCAGACAGTTAACAAGGGCTTGTGATCTTGGACGTGGATCTGACTCCTCACTTGTACGTTGTTCAGTATGGTATACCGAACAAAAGGTTCAGTTTCACGAGTATAACGTGTTTGGAACGAATAATTACAAGTATACTCCAGGTATACTGCAGGTATACTCCTTAGAATGCAGGCGGGAGAGATACATGATTATATACACTTGGAAAATCCTAGAGGGACTAGTACCAAACTTGCACACGAAAATCACTGTATGAAAGCAAAAGACTTGGCAGACGATGCACCATCCCCCCAATGAAAAGCAGGGGTTTCACTAGCATGATAAGAGACAACACAGTAAGTGTCAGGGGCCCAAGACTGCCCAACTGCTTCCCAGCATACATAAGGGGGATTACCAATAGACCCCTGACTGTCTTCAAGCAGGCACTGGACAGGCACATAAAATCAGTACCTGACCAGCTGGGCTGTGGTTCATACGTTGGACTGTGTGCAGCTACCAGTAACAGCCTGGTTGATCAGGCCCTGGTCCACCATGAGGCCTGGTCACAGATCGGGCCATGGGGACGTTGACCACCCGGAACTTTCTACAGATATACACCATTGATATAGGGGAGTTTTAAAAATTCACTGGGTGTACAGAACAAGTCACATGGAAATCTATAGCTTAAGGTCTTTTGCATTCTGTACGTCATCAGGAGCTGTGCAGTGTTTGAAGACTAGCAAGTGTCATGGGCCACCATTGATACCTCAGAGAATTTCCCATAGCATATGTTACTGTCTTGCAATATTTCATAGCTCCTGATGATGCACAGTGAACATGAAAGATCTAAAGATTTCCATTCCCAAGTGGCTTATTTTGTGTTTTTGAGATTACCTGTTTGTGATTTTATTGCTCCACTGGCTATATTGTACTCTTACTGCATTCATTTTTGTTTTATTTTTTGTAATATATGTACTGGAAGTTGAAGCTATGGTAATATATTAATTTATTTTTTTTGTTATTATTTTTTGCATTATTTTGATTTCACAGACATTGGATAATTCTTACACAGAGTGCAGGCTATTCTTCACAGCTTAAACAGAGTGGGGGCTATCTGTCACAGCTTAAACAGAGTGGGGGCTATCTGTCACAGCTTAAACAGAGTGGGGGCTATCTGTCACAGCTTAAACAGAGTGGGGGCTATCTGTCACAGCTTAAACAGAGTGGGGGCTATCCTTCACAGCATAGACATTCCAGCCCCCATAAAGTCTTAATTGGTAATGGGGGTCATCAGGTGAATACCAGTTGAAATCTCTGTCCTACTATAAAAAAATATACATTTATATAACTCTGTCTGTTATATCTTCGAAATTGGTCATCCTGTGTTATTTAACTGTTGTAAGAGAATATGTTCATCACTTAATATTATAGCGCGAAAGTCCCCGTTTATAGCTAAAATAGAGACTTTCGGCGTTATATTATTATCTGTTAATATATGAAAAATACCATGGTATTATCACTATTATTGTTATTATTGTCACTATTATTGTTAGGTAGGATTTCTTGTGTATATAGAGTTTAAGTCTCGGAACCATCCGGTGAATTGTTCAATTGTTTATGTCCGGCTGACTGACGTTGGGTCAGGTGATCCAACCTGACGACGCATCAACAGACTGGCAAGTAGTCAGTCCGCTCCCTGCTCTAGCCCTGACAACTGATCGTATGTTGGCTCTTACGGTGTACAGTTGAATGGTTTTGAGAATTGGACTCTAGAGCTGACTCACTTTGTTCCTCATTACTCTGAAAGATTCTTTTGATATTTATATTCCTGGTCAGTTCAGTAATCCATAGAGATACTTTACGGCCAGATTCAAAGGTCTTGTTAAATCTTGTACCTTTTGTATTTTGAGTTTACAGTCTTGTTAAGACAAAGACGTAAATGTTATTGAAGACTGAATTACAGGAAGAATAATTAAACTTTCTTATTAATGTGACATTTCCATGATTTTGAACTAAATGTATATGTTAAATTTATTGTACAAAGTATTAAGTTACATTAACTACAAAGAGAAGATAAAGTATTGTATTTAAATACTTTAATAAATTTGAATATTATTCTATGGAGTTTCCCAGTTGAAATTATTTCCCCTAGACTCTAAATTACCTATAACTCGGATCCAAAAATCTTGTTGCATAAGAAATAAATGGTAACAGGCCACATTCTGAAGTTCTTTAAAAAAAATTTCTTATTCGCAACACTGTACAACATACAATTTCAGTGTAAAAAATATAGTTATTGTACAACACTTCCCACTGTTGTACAACCCACGATTGGGCAGTATTTCTCACTATTGTACAACACTTCCCACTGTTGTACAACCCACGATTGGGCAGTATTTCTCACTGTTGTACAGCACTTCCCACTATTGTACAACCCACGATTGGGCAGTATTTCTCACTGTTGTACAACACTTCCCACTATTGTACAACCCACAATTGGGCAGTATTTCTCACTATTGTACAACACTTCCCACTATTGTACAACCCACGATTGGGCAGTATTTCTCACTGTTGTACAGCACTTCCCACTATTGTACAACCCACGATTGGGCAGTATTTCTCACTGTTGTACAACACTTCCCACTATTGTACAACCCACGATTGGGCAGTATTTCTCACTATTGTACAACACTTCCCACTATTGTACAACCCACGATTGGGCAGTACTTCTCACTGTTTTACAACACTTCCCGCTATTGTACAACCCACGATTGGGCAGTACTTCCCACTATTGTACAATACTTCCCACTACTGTACAATACTTCCCAATAATGTACAGCACAGGTGCTCCTCAACTTACGATGGTTTGACTTCAGATATTTTAAATTACAATATTTTGACTACAGTGGTTTGGCTTTTGATATTTTAACTTACGATGGTGGGGCAGCAATTACAGTGGACCCCCGCATAACGATTACCTCCGAATGCGACCAATTATGTAAGTGTATTTATGTAAGTGCGTTTGTACGTGTATGTTTGGGGGTCTGAAATGGACTAATCTACTTCACAATATTTCTTATGGGAACAAATTCGGTCAGTACTGGCACCTGAACATACTTCTGGAGTGAAAAAATATCGTTAACCGGGGGTCCACTGTACTTTGGAGATGTCACTTAAGATAATTACCCAGCATGAAGGTGACAAGTCCCTAACTTGTACGTAATAACGGCCCCAAAAGTCCCTAACTTGTACATAATAACTGCCCCAAAAGTTCCTAACTTGTACATAATAACGGCCCCAAAGCACAAGAGTAGAGAAGTTGACAGTTGTTCAAAGCCTAAGAGAAGTTGTGAATTGCTTCCCATCAGTGACAAAGTGATCAGTCTCCACATACTGTGCATAATTTATCAATTAAATTTTATAACAGGTATGCAATAAGATCACAATATGTATAGATGTTAGTGGACTGGTGTGGTTCGCATCCTGGGACAAAATTGACCTAATTTGCGGGAAATGCTCAGCATAACAAGTGGCTTTCTATATACTGTAGGGTTTGCTACTATTCGTGGTTTTGGTATCCACAGCGGTACCTGGAAATGTATCCCCTATGGGTACCTGGAATGTATCCCCCATGGGTATCTGGAATGTATCCCCATGGGTACCTGGAATGTATCCCCTGCTGGTACCTGGAATGTATCCCCATGGGTACCTGGAATGTATCCCCAGTGGGTACCTGGAATGTATCCCACACGGGTAACTGGAATGTATCCCCCGCAGGTACCTGGAATGTATCCCCTGCGGGCACCTCGAATGTATCCCCCGTGGATACCTGGAATGTATCCCCCGTGGATACCTGGAATGTATCCCCCGCTGATACAGGGATTCTACTGTATATGCTTTTTATTACTGGTATTCGGTTAGTTATAGTAATTATTTGTTTATTTACTTATTCGGTGACAGTAGTTATTTATTTACTTAGCATATCATATTTATATTTGACTCACAATATTTTCAACTTAACAATATTTTTCACTTATGATGGTTCACTGGAATGTAATCCCAATACTGTATTTTCAATTTGCAATAGTTTCGACTTAGGATATTGGCAACTTACGATGGGTTCGTTGGAATTTAACCCCAATATTTTCGATTTAGGATATTGCCGACTTATGTTGGGGCAATTGGAGCGTAATTCCAGTATTATCAGTTTTACAATATTTTTGAGTTAGGATATTGTTGACTGGCGGTGGGTTTGTTGGAACACAATTCCAACATTTTCGAGTTAGGATATTTTCAACTTACAATGGGTTCATGGGAACGTAACCCCCATCGTAAGTGAAGGAGGAGCTGTAGTTGAAATAAGAGTGGTCAGTGAGTGGTGCAGGCGAGGACCCTGCGAGGGCGGTAGCGATGGCGGACATACACCTTCCTGGTGCCCGGGTCTTGCAAGGGACGGTAATTGTTGCGCAGGTACTTCACCCTGTCCTCGTGCAATCCTTGAAACTCCTTCATCTGCAATCATTATTATTGTTATTACTTCTCTTTCACAGTGTTTATTATTACTCCTCTCACTATCATGATGTATATTATTATTATTATTATTATTATTATTATTATTATTATTATTATTATTATTATTATTATTGCTCTCACTGTCATGATGTGTATTATTAGTAGTAGTAGTAATAGTAGTCTAATATTTAATATAAATATTGTTACTATTATCACTGTTAGTAGTAGTAGTAATAATATAAATATTATTATTATTAATAGTAGTAGTAGTTATATATTATTATTATTATTATTATTATTATTATTTATTATTATTATTATTTGTAAATGCTGCCTATGGGTCAGCACCTGGTCAATGGTAGACAATCAGGTTTGATGTGAGGAAGGAGAGAGTTGTTCTTGATCCCAGGATCAAGAGCCCTACACCAGCTAGTGTACACCAGCTCCTGGTATTAGTACAGTGTTACAGTACACTGGTGTACACTATCGTGTACTGGAGCTGTGCTTCCCCGCCCCTTGGATCAAACTTGATTATTTATCCTTCCCAGAACATTGTGACTATTATTACAGCATTTATTTTAATAGTAATAAACTGCTACTATTACTATTCTACTACTACAACCACTAAGTTGCGACAGCCATTAGTACTACTAGTAGTAGCAGTACTAATAGTAGTAGCAGTACTATTAGTAGTAGCAGTACTAGTAGTAGCAGTACTAGTAGTAGTAGTAATACTAGTACTATTACTAGCACCAACAGGTTTATAAGGCAGTCCAGTAGAGATTGATGATGCTGCAGGAGGGAGAGTGTGCGGGAGATAAAGTAGTGGGATGAGGAACGTGGAAGTCAAGAGCGGGGGGTGAAAGAGAGTGGGAGGGGAGAGAGAGGGAAGAGGGGAAAGGGAGGAGAGAGAATCTGTGTGGTAAACCAGGGAGGACATCAGTAGGCCCAATTAACGCTGCCGGAGATGCTATAAATCTCACTGCCTCTTGTTGGCTGCCAGCATCCACCCTTTCCCTCACGCCTGCCATCATCCACCCATACCCTCACGCCTGCCAGCATCCACCCTTCTGCTTCCCTCCTGCCAGCATCCACCCTTCTGCTTCCCTCCTGCCAGCATCCACCCTTCTGCTTCCCTCCTGCCAGCATCCACCCCCCTGGTCAGCATCTACCCCTCCCATCTACCACTTGCAGCTGACCTCGGTGAGATAACACCTATACATCAGGGACCCCAGACCTCAGGGAGGTAACACCTACATCAGGGACCCCTGACCTCAGTGACGTAGTCCTATACAATTAACACTTGAGAGGGTTAAAGGAAGGATGGACTAGTTTTGGGCTGTGTTTAGCTGGAGTTTACCTGGAGAGAGTTCCGGGGGTCAACGCCCCCGCGGCCCGGTCTGTGACCAGGCCTCCTGGTGGATCAGAGCCTGATCAACCAGGCTGTTGCTGCTGGCTGCACGCAAACCAACGTACAAGCCACAGCCCGGCTGATCAGGAACTGACTTTAGGTGCTTGTCCAGTGCCAGCTTGAAGACTGCCAGGGGTCTGTTGGTAATCCCCCTTATGTGTGCTGGGAGGCAGTTGAACAGTCTCGGGCCCCTGACACTTATTGTATGGTCTCTTAACGTGCTAGTGACACCCCTGCTTTTCATTGGGGGGATGGTGCATCGTCTGCCAAGTCTTTTGCTTTCGTAGTTAGTGATTTTCGTGTGCAAGTTCGGTACTAGTCCCTCTAGGATTTTCCAGGTGTATATAATCATGCATCTCTCCCTCCTGCGTTCCAGGGAATACAGGTTTAGGAACCTCAAGCGCTCCCAATAATTGAGGTGTTTTATCTCCGTTATGCACACCGTGAAAGTTCTCTGTACATTTTCTAGGTCGGCAATTTCACCTGCCTTGAAAGGTGCTGTTAGTGTGCAGCAATATTCCAGCCTAGATAGAACAAGTGACCTGAAGAGTGTCATCATGGGCTTGGCCTCCCTAGTTTTGAAGGTTCTCATTATCCATCCTGTCATTTTTCTAGCAGATGCGATTGATACAATGTTATGGTCCTTGAAGGTGAGATCCTCCGACATGATCACTCCCAGGTCTTTGACGTTGGTGTTTCGCTCTATTTTGTGGCCAGAATTTGTTTTGTACTCTGATGAAGATTTAATTTCCTCATGTTTACCATATCTGAGTAATTGAAATTTCTCATTGTTGAACTTCATATTGTTTTCTGCAGCCCACTGAAAGATTTGGTTGATGTCCGCCTGGAGCTTTGCAGTGTCTGCAATGGAAGACACTGTCATGCAGATTCGGGTGTCATCTGCAAAGGAAGACACGGTGCTGTGGCTGACATCCTTGTCTATGTTGGATATGAGGATGAGGAACAAGATGGGAGCGAGTACTGTGCCTTGTGGAACAGAGCTTTTCACCGTAGCTGCCTCGGACTTTACTCTGTTGACGACTACTCTCTGTGTTCTGTTAGTGAGGAAATTATAGATCCATCGACCGACTTTTCCTGTTATTCCTTTAGCACGCATTTTGTGCGCTATTACGCCGTGGTCACACTTGTCGAAGGTTTTTGCAAAGTCTGTATATATTACATCTGCATTCTTTTTGTCTTCTAGTGCATTTAGGACCTTGTTGTAGTGATCCAATAGTTGAGACAGACAGGAGCGACCTGTTCTAAACCCATGTTGCCCTGGGTTGTGTAACTGATGGGTTTCTAGATGGGTGGTGATCTTGCTTCTTAGGACCCTTTCAAAGATTTTTATGATATGGGATGTTAGTGCTATTGGTCTGTAGTTCTTTGCTGTTGCTTTACTGCCCCCTTTGTGGAGTGGGGCTATGTCTGTTGTTTTTTAGTAACTGTGGGACGACCCCCGTGTCCATGTCCCTCTCCATAGGATGGAAAAGGCTCGTGATAGGGGCTTCTTGCAGTTCTTGATGAACACAGAGTTCCATGAGTCTGGCCCTGGGGCAGAGTGCATGGGCATGTCATTTATCGCCTGTTCGAAGTCATTTGGCGTCAGGATAACATCGGATAGGCTTGTGTTAATCAAATTTTGTGGCTCTCTCATAAAAAATTCATTTTGATCTTCGACTCTCAGTCTGGTTAGCGGCTTGCTAAAAACTGAGTCATATTGGGACTTGAGTAGCTCACTCATTTCCTTGCTGTCATCTGTGTAGGACCCATCTTGTTTATGTAGGGGCCCAATACTGGACGTTGTACTCGATTTTGATTTGGCATAGGAGAAGAAATACTTTGGGTTTCTTTCGATTTCATTTATGGCTTTTAGTTCTTCCCGCGATTCCTGACTCCTAAAGGATTCTTTTAGCTTAAGTTCGATGCTTGCTATTTCTCTGACCAGTGTCTCCCTACGCATTTCAGATATATTGACCTCTTTTAGCCGCTCTGTTATTCTTTTCCGTCGCCTGTAAAGGGAGCGCCTGTCTCTTTCTATTTTACATCTACTCCTCCTTTTTCTTAGAGGAATAAGCCTTGTGCATACATCGAGTGCCACCGAGTTAATCTGTTCTAGGCATAAGTTGGGGTCTGTGTTGCTTAGTATATCTTCCCAGCTTATATCGGTTAGGACTTGGTTTACTTGGTCCCACTTTATGTTTTTGTTATTGAAGTTGAATTTGGTGAATGCTCCCTCGTGTGTAGGTATAAATAGGCCTATTCTAAAGATCAATTATTGATATTGGTCACTGGGGCCCAGAGCTACAGTGCTAGTCATGGCATTATGCCAAGTGAGCACCCCGGCATAATGCCATGACGAAAATCAATGGCCTACCATACAGTGGGGTCTTTTTTTGTCAGTGCATTCTGCTGGATAGCAGCCATAAGCATGACCTCTCAGCCTGCTGCCACACTTCACAGTGATCTCTCATTGCTCACATGGCTGCTGTGTGAGAGGAAGTGTTGCACTGTTGTCTCTCACCCGCCCCATCTTTTTTCCGGTGTTCCCTTTGGTGTAGGGGCTGTACATGTTTAATTATGGGTAAAAGGAAGTCTTTAACACCTGAAACTATAGCTCAAATCATAGGGCTTCACAAAGCTGGGCACCGAACGAAAGAAATAGTGGAGAATGTTAGTGTGTGTGAGCGTTCAGTGAGGAAATGGGTGCAGTGTTTCAAGGCTGGTGACAGTGTCGAGTTACCGTCTGCCAAACCTCGGCCTGGCCTCTCCAGGAAGACATCTGTTTGCACCTTAACTGTGCCTCACACCCGTACAAGAGTGTTGTTATAACTATACTCTCATACATTCCCCTCTTTGCTTTCATGGATAAAGTTCTTTGTCTCCTCAGACTCCTCAGTTCACCACTCACGTTTTTCCCCTCGTCAATTCTATGATTCACCTCATCCTTCATAGACCCGTCTGCTGACTCGTCCACTCCCAAATACATGTATCTGAACACATTCACCTCCTCCATACTCTCTCTCCCTCCAGTCTGATATCCAATCTTCTGTTACCTAATTCCTTTGTTATCCAGCCAGGTAGAGACAAATGAAAGATAAAATAATGAATATTGAAGACAGTGTTGATTATATAAAGAAAGAGAAAGCAAGATAATGTATATAAAGAGTGCAGCCAACATTGACAGGGGAGACATAACAAGGATATTAAAGATACTTATCAACAAGCTTAAAATAATAAATCATTATATTGCACCTAAAATATTAAGACAAAACAGAGAGATGAAGTAAAAGAAAATATATATTGAGAGAGAAAGAATAACAAGATTGAAAACTAAACAAATAATTAAATTAATTAAGAAATATTGTTAAAATATTTACATAATATACATTGTACATTATAATATACATTATAATATACATTGTACATTATAATATACATTGTGCATTATAATATACATTGTACATTATAATATACATTATAATATACATTGTACATTGCAGAAACAGCTGCAATGGGGAAGGTAAGTTGCAAGTATGTATTTATATAGCGTAGGGTTATAAAACTCCTCTATATGGTACAGACTTGCCTGGTTAATGCAACGTTCACTTTAAAGCACTTTGATAACATGTTGCTTTTCAGTTATATTCACTTTTATTTTCACCGCTTGCCTTGTTTTTAAGATGATTTTCTGCCGTTTTCAGTTATTTTGTTTTTATTTTTGTGACCACCTCATAGGATTCAGTATTCACACTGTTTGAGGCCTAGGTGCCAGAATTTATTATTTGCACTAATCGAGGCCTAGGTGCCAGAATATTATTTACATTAATCAAGACCTAGGTGCCATAATTTATTATTTATGCTAATCAAGGTCTAGGTGCCAGAATTTATTATTAACAGTAATATTGAGATGGGAAGTACAGTGCCTGCACTCTGAAGGAGGGGTATTAATGTTGCAGTTTAAAAACTGTAGTATAAAGCACCCTTCTGGCAAGACAGTGATGGAGTGAATGATGGTGAAAGTTTTTCTTTTTCGGGCCACTCTGCCTTGGTGGGAATCGGCCAGTGTGATAATAAAAATAATAATATTGAGGCCTAGGTGCCAGAATTTGTTTGCATTAATCAAGGTCTAGATATACCTCCAATATAATAAAAACAATATTCAGGTCGGCCATCAATAATCCGGCAATCAGTAATCCAGTTCCATCAGTAATTCTGTTCCATTGGTAATCCAATTCCATCAGTAATCCGGCACTAATTTCGGCTAGCATAATTTCAAATTTCCAGGGTTGCCACACCAACCTGCCGCTACTGTTTGGTGGCACTACTTGCTGCATAAGTCATTCCAATTTCTTTTTCTCCATTTATTGTTATAACCTGCTTTTAGCTCTAGCCATGGTTCCTACGAATAAAAGAAATGCTTCCCGTTCTGTTAAACACATACACTGCACATTGTCCATAAAGATAAGGTGGCTTTGATGCCGCTGTTGGTCGCCATGAGCTCAGCTCACTCAGATAAGCTGTGACTGGTAAATTTAGACCTACATATGAGAGAATAGGTCTGTGTGGTGTGTGTGCACTATACAGTGGAACCTCAAATATCGAACTGCTCCCAACACGACCAATTATGTAAGTGTATTTTTGTAAGTGCTTTTATAAGTGTATTTTTGAGGGTCTGAAATGGACTAATCTAATTTACATTATTCCTGATGGGAATAAATTCATTCGATAAAGGACTCGAACAGCCTTCTGGACCGAAGGAAGTTCGATATTTGAGGTTCCACTGTATAGAAAAAATCCTGCAGCGCGCGGTGCATAATGAGAAAAAACTCTGACTAAAACAGCGACTTGGGGCGGCTAACGCATGTGGCACCTAAAGTAAAAAAAAAAAAAAAAATAGAAAAAAATATGAAAATTGAACTAATGATATAGAAAAATATCTTAAGACTTTAGCAACACTCTGGTATAAGAATCGTTGTTGTACTATGTTCCTACGAGGAATTATAGTCATTTATAACAAACATAGTCACTTATAACATATAAGACAGCTCTGTAAGAGAGTTTACTGTATAAGGTAAAATGTGCCTCAGGGAGATCAAAGAATCATTTTGTATTAGCAAGTTATTTTCTTACAAATTTTTATTTCTTTGTGGTACAAAAATAATGTAATTTACATTTAATGAAATATTGGTAGGTACAAAATAGGCACTGAACTCAGTGGCTTCAGTCCATGCTGGCCATATTTTGGTCCATCCTGGGCCATATTTTGGTCCATCCTGGGCCATGTTTTGGTCCATCGTGGGCCACATTTTGGTCTATCCTTGACACATTTCAGTGCATCCTGGACCATTATCAGGTGACAGTGGTCCAGAATCAACAGAAATGGCTCATTCTTCCACTCCGAGACTTTGGTTATGTATGGAATTTTCCCACAACGGATTTGTGACTTTAATTTTCAAGACTAGAGTATATAATTCACAAAAAGCTTTAGGGAAGTAAAATAATTGAATTTGGATTATGCAAGCAGAGTCATTACCTGTGGTTCCCATTAACGTCGAGTCAGAGAAATTGACTTGTCGAGTCTGCTTGAAATAGGCAAAGTCTGGTCTAGGGTAGAGAAACTTTCAAAAATAATTTTGACTGTCATAGGAAAATGGGTCATGCATCATCATGCGTAAAAAGTGTGGTAATGAGTTGTGTGGTGGAGCTATAAGAAATCTGACAGCCCACAGAAGACAAAAAAAATAAATGAGATTTATCTTCCAAAAAAATAGCGAAGAAAATTATGCATAACAAAAAAAAATTACAAAATACTTAAAGTAGATGTAGTAAAGTGAGATGTAGTAAAGCAAAACCAAGAATAGCAACACAAACAAACAATAGCAACATTAAAAGCAGGAGGGATAATTAAAATCAGTATACCGGGTGTTTCAAAAAGATGGACCCGTATTTGTAATCACTATCTATGCAAATGAGGTCCATCATTTTAAATCACCCTGTTTAAAAGCAAAAGTACACTTGTAATAATTTGAGATATTTTCTATGTCAATACTACTGTATTTTCCTGCATATAAAATGCATGAGAATATATGACAGTGTTGGCAAGCAGTTGTAATATTGAGCGGTAAGCCAGCGGAAGGCCTCGGTCAGATGACCAAAAGCTCCAAAGGCAGGTCATCATCTGACTAAGATCCGCATCAGGAAACACTTGTAACATTAGTAAACAACTGCTCAAGTGTAACACACAGTCTACCCTCGACCCTCACTTTGAGCATATAAGACGCAGGCTCATTTTCCATGACTTATCGTGGGAAAAAAGCTGACCTTATATGCCGGAAAATACAGTACACATATAGGTGAGAAAATGTTTATAGATGACAAGGTGAGTTGTACTGATGGCCAGGTAGTAGGTGTGTTAGTGTGCAAATATTCGCACATAGAAGTCACTTTTTGGATTAGAATTTTGGGAATTTTAAAAAGGGGTAAAAAGCTATTTAATAAAAAAAAGCTAAAGGGGGTATTTGATAAAAACCCATCGGGGGCCCTTTAAATATTAAAAAATGTGGTCCCAAGCCCCTTTGATAAAATTGGTTAAAAGAGGGGTTTTTTATATTTTGTAAAAAGTCCCTAATATGCCAAAATGGGAAATTTTAGAAATTTTAAAAAAAAAAGTTTTATTTCCAATTGGGGGGAAATTTTGCAAAAAAAGATTTAAAAAAAAAGGGGAAAGGGTTTAAGCCCAAATCCCCCCCTTACCCCAAAAACCCAGAGAAAAAAAATTTCTTTAAAAGTTTTTTCAAAACCATGGAATTTAACATAGGCCCCCCATTGAAAAAAATTTTTTAAAAAAATTCACTGGTTGGAATTTAGTCCTTTTTCCTAAAAGCTTAAAAAATTTCTTTGCAGATTGAAAAAAACCCCCGGGGGGGAGCCCGGGGCAGAGCCAAAAACCCCCCCACCCCGTCCTTGCCTAGACCGTAGAAATAAAAAAAACCAACTGGTCAGTTTTCAGGGCAAACCGATATTTTGAGATCAACCCTTTTTTTCCCCCGGGGGGGTTTTTTCCCCGATTTTTTTTAAAAAAAATTTTTATCTGGTTTTTAGGGATTTGGGTTTTAAAAAAACAAATTTGAAAATAAAAAAAACGGGATTAAAATTAAAAAAAACCCTTCAAAAAAAAAGTAAAATTTCCTTTTAAAAAAAATGCAAAATTTTTAATTTAAAGGTTTTTTAATTAAACAGGTTTATTTAAAATCCCCGGAATTTATTTTTTGTATACTTAAAAACCCAAAATTTTTCCTCCCCTTAAAAAAAAAAGCCCATTTTTTTTAATTTTCCCAGTTTTTAATTGTCAAAATTTAAAAGGTTTAAAAAGGCTAAAACAAGCCCCTTAGGTATATTGAGGCACATCCAGCCTTATAAGCCTTCACCTTTCTTTTTTTTACATTCCCTTTATTTTGAAAAATCACTAAAGCATTTGGAATTGAACCATTTTTTCACAGTGGTTATTCTGCATATGTTGCTGTATGTGATTATTGTACTTATGTGCACCTGTACTTAAACTTACTTTCAGTCCGACTTGGACTATTATCCAGTCGTGTGACTAGTTAATAAACCAAGTCGGACAGAAACATCATAAGATTCAGTCTTCTATGTCTGGGTTATTTGTGTATTATTCCAGTCAGGGTATTGTGACCGTTTTAATTGTGTGTTAGTGACTATGTGAAGACTAAACTCACCTGGTATTGTGTGTAGGTGTGTTGCTGCTGCTGCTGCTGTGGCTGGAGGTACTGTTGAGATCTGCTGTAGTATTGTGCATTAGTAGTGCTGCTGCTGCTGCTGCTGTTGTAATCTGCTGATGTTGTGGGCTTGTATCGTGACTGTTGTATTAAACCATCCACCACCACCACTACTGTATTTTCCCTTGTATAATTGAAGTTACAGACTGTAGTGGAATTGCTGTTGATGTTGCACTTGTGGCTTGTTCTAGTGTCTCAAAATAAATGAATTACTCTACCACCATCACCACCATTACTACCACCACTACCACCATAACCACCACCACTACAGTACCATGCTTATGGTGTCTTATACCATGTATAACTGTGGCAGTGTTGTTGATGCTCTTCTATGTTGCTTGTAGTATTGCTGTTGCATCATTATTCTTGTACAGCAATACAGTATACCAAAACAAACCCAGCTCATACAATTCTTTCTTTATTCTTTCAGTTGTCTTCCTGCAGAAAATTAGTTACCAGTCTTGTCCCAGTGTACTTCTGCTGTAACTAAGTAACTTTCTGTATCTACCATTGTGAGCTTCAAGTGTTGGTCTTGTATCATGGTTCTTCACCAGCTCCTCTACTACCATTGTCTGCTGTATTCTACCATGTGTGGCTGAGGTTGCACAGTAAACAGGGGAAAAAATGCGGACTTCGAATTTTTGGCACTTCAAGTGACCCTTGCCACCAAGTGTGTAGGTGTCGTCATGTGATCAGTGGAGAAGCGAGCCTCCCACACTTTTCCTATGCCAAATGACCCAAATGGGTTTACCACTTCTGAAAATGCTGCATTATGATGATAGTACAGCAGCAATAATGTAATCGAAAAAATATTTTGCGGTCTACATTTTTTGGATTTGTGATTTTCTTTTTTGTCACCACTGAAATGCATACATTTTTTAAAAGCAAAATGGACTATGTATCTTTATTGAATCAATGAACATTTGATTACAATATGGAAGTGTAACGGTACAGAGGATATAGATAAAGCCAGGATGTATGTTTACACTTCTCGCTTTGCAGTACACCGAAAACTTTTATATTTTTGCTCGATAATGACCCACATGGAGACAGAAACTCAATAGATTAATTATTCCATATATTTTGACCCCCTTCTTGTGTCCTCTTCAGCAGATCTCAAGATCCTCTTCATCTGTGATGAATAGTTTTGAAAATCGACAAGTTGAAGAATTGAGACACTGATGCAACATATGGGAATCTTACTGAAGAAACGTTTCTTCAATAAAGATTCCCGTATGTTGCATAAGTGTCTTAATTCATCCTCTTCATCTGCTGAAGAGGACCCCAGGAAGGGAACAGAATATACAGACCAGTCGAACTGCATTGGTATACAAGTGGTTTCAGTGCCGATCAGTATTTTATTAACATGTTAATTACACTTTGTACAGCATAAAAAGAAATAAAATTTTGAATTTGAAGTAATCTAAGTTGTTTCCCCTCAAGGGAGGTTCTATGATGCTGGTGAGGGGCTCTTGATCTAGGGAATTGGATCTGTGCTCCAATTCCCTGAATCAAGCCTGAATGCCTTCCATCCCTCACCCTCACAAGCGCTGTATAATCCCTACCAGTTTAGCGCTCCCCCATAATCTTTGTCATCATGTGGGTTATTATCGAGCAGTGACGATGTTTGTGTTAGGCAGTGGACTGTTTTGTGCCTTAACTTGGTGACGATAACTGTGTATTTTATGCTAAGAATAAACCTTTGATAAACCTTTCATGAGTTCCTAGTTTTTTCTTTTTTTTAGTCTTGTATTAAGTAAATCTTTCTGCTTTTTTAGTGTTGTACTATAGCTTTCTTTTTTAGTGTACTATGTATACCTTTCATATTTAGTGTACTATGTATACCTTTCATATTTAGTGTACTATGTATACCTTTCATATTTAGTGTACTATGTATACCTTTCATATTTAGTGTTGTACTAAGTTAAAATAACTACAGGACAAATTATTCTACATTCTTGTAGTGCTTTCTTCTTGAAATGTAAAAATTCTCACTAATCATCTACACCGTCTACCCACCGAGCGGAAAGCGGACAAAACACACACAAAGATGCCGGTCACCACAAGTAGCAGTAACATTGGTACCCATGACCCATGATTCCTCTGTGTTAAATACTGGTACTGACCTATAGACTGTCTTGTTAGCTTAATATCTCTTATTATGTAGCCTTTTACCTGCCCTGTTGAAATATTAGAGGCACATAATGGGTCCAGGGACTGGGACCCATACCCGTTCAGTGGGCATCAGTCAAAAGGGGTACATAGGCATACAATGAGTCAAGGAACTGGGCCCCAAAGTGTAATAGGCTAGGTAGGCTGTCAACACTTTGGGGCCCATCGCTAGGCCTGTCATGTCATGGTGGTTCAATAGTGTCATCCCGGGCGATGTGAACAAGTTAGTGAAAAGAATTTTGAGGTCCATGAGTCCCTGAGTTGTAGCTTAACTTATCCACAAGTTCAACCCTAAGTTTCACTCAGGACTGAACTTCGTCTATAAGTAGACTTGGTAAAGCTGAATTTTATTTAATTTTATATAATTTTATATGTACCTTCATATGTTGTAAGGTCAAGAAAAATATATAAATACTAATCCAAATTAGAAATACTTGTCACTTGCAGTAGAGAGAACGACCTACCTGTTTCTCTGAGATGGGAATAGCATGGGCGAAGACCGTCCAGGTAACAACCTCGTTACAGGTGGGTGTGGTTAGCGATCCCTCGTATCTGTAGAACTTATCCACGTTGTTGGGCAGGAAGGCCCGCAGCGGGTAGGTCGCACTCACACCAGAGAACATACCTGTGGGGCAGGTCAGGTGTTAGTAGTGGTAGGTTTGGGGGCCAACAGAGCTAAATAAGGGATCAACATAGGTAGGTCAAAGACAGAACTAGAGACAGACAGAAACAGAGAGAGACAGGAACAGAGAGAGAGAGCTAGATAGCTAGCTAGCTCCTCCATCATAACATGTAAACTCCTGCAGCGAGATACTGGGGTCGAGTTGCCGCCCCAGCACCAAGATATTACTCACCAGATTCGGTGATATTAAGGAGAGCATTAGTGAGAGGTGTGAGAGCTGGGTTATCAGTTTCTGACACCTCCAGCATCACTCCCAACACTGCCAGACCATCCTGCCTCTTGATAGCCTCAGCTAGTGAACCATAGGCACCATTGTAGTGTACAAGGTGGAGTTCCATGGGGTACCTGGGGTACAAGGCAATAGTTAATACAGGTAAATGTGCAGTAAGATCACAGTAAACAGTTGATATCACAATATGCAGAATAACCAATGTGAAAAAATAGTGAAATTCCAAGCGCTTTCGTGACTTCACATTTTGTGAGGAGTCATGAAAGTGCTTGGAATTTCACTATTTTTTCACAGTGGTTGTTCTGCACAGGTAAATATATATAAGAACATAAGAAAGAAGGAACACTGCAGCAGGCCTACTGACCCATGTGGAGCAGGTCCATGCCCCCCCCCCCGATAAGCCCAGTGACCCACCCAGTCTGGTCACCGCCACTCAAGGAAGGAGCACGGCACCAGACCCAGCTGCACAAGCTAGTCAGGTCCAACTCACACCCACCCACACCCACTCATATATTTATCTAACCTATTTTTAAAACTACATAACGTTTTAGCCCCAATAACTGTACTCAGGAGTTTGTTCCACTCATCCACAACTCTATTACCAAACCAGTACTTTCCTATATCCTTCCTGAATCTGAATTTTTCCAACTTGAAACCATTGCTGCAAGTCCTGTCTTGGCTGGAAATTTTCAGCACATTATTTACATCCTCTTTATTTATTCCTGTCTTCCATTTATACACCTCGATCATATCCCCCTTAATTCTACGTCTTTCGAGAGAGTGCAGATTCAGGGCCTCAGTCTATCCTCATAGGGAAGATTTCTGATACATGGGATCATCTTTGCCATCCTCCTTTGTACGTTTTCCAGAGCATTTATATCCATTCTGTAATACGGTGACCAGAACTGAGCAGCATAGTCTGGGGTAGATTCAATATCACGGGTAGATTTGGATACCTGGTTGTACCTGGATACGGATGAGCAATTACTACAGCTAAATGTGTGTCCAGTTCCTGGACCCATTATGTACATTTGTAATCTTTTGACTACCGCCCACAGGATGGGTATGGGGTGCATAATAAACATTAAACTAACTAACTAGGGAAGATACACTTGTTATCACAGGTAAACTTTTTTACACCTGATGGTACCTGGGGTGAGGTACTCATTACTACAGGTCAGTCTTGGATCTATATTTTTGGGACCCTGAAGCTTGAACTATGGGGACCCCTGAAGCTTGAACCATGGGGACCCCTGAAGCTTGAACCATGGGGACCCCTGAAGCTTGAACCATGGGGCCCTTTGCAGTTAACAACAAGGTCCGTGTAACCACTGTCACCTGTAGACCCTCATAAGTTAGACCCAAATTTTTGAAAACAGTGTAGACTAAAGTGGCTTCAGAGGCCCATTCAGGATTAGGGGCCCTTTATTAGTTTTATAGATCTGTCCTTGACACAGGTTACAGTGACTACCAGTCAGCTTTCATCCAGTCATCACATGACAGTTATCACATCAGTCATCACATGACAGTTATCACATCAGTCATCACATGACAGTTATCACATCAGTCATCACATGACAGTTATCACATCAATCATCACATCAGTCATCATGTAAGTCATCACATGACAGTTATCACATCAGTCATCACATAAGCCATCATGTAAGTCATCACATGACAGTTATCACAAATCATCACATCAGTCATTACATAAGTCATCACATCAGTCATCATGTAAGTCATCACATGACAGTGTGATGTAGTTCAGCTGGGCTTGTGAGGTCTCTGGGGAGACCTAATTTAACCAATTATATGGTCACACCTTGCCTTGGCAAACGTCTGTAGCCACGCCCACGTCTGAGGTCTTTTGTTCTTGACGGCGTCAGACCTAGGCGTCAGGTTGTACACGTGGTTGTGGAGGGTGCTTGGACCACCATAAAAGCCCAAGGAAGAGCATGATCAGGAGATTTGAGTGGAGCTGCTGCTGGGGTGCAGAGCTCCTGAGCAGACTTCGAGCAGAGCTGCTGCTGGGGTGCAGAGCTCCTGAGCAGAGACTTCGAGCGCAGCTGCTGCTGGGGTGCAGAGCTCCTGAGCAGAGACTTCGAGCGCAGCTGCTGCTGGGGTGCAGAGCTCCTGAGCAGAGACTTCGAGCGGAGCTGCTGCTGGGGTGCAGGGCTCGGGAGAAGGCTGCTGAAGTCTCTGGAGGAGACTGTTGGAGGCATTGGGCAGAGTACTGGCTTGGCGCAGTACTCGTGCTGTGTAGGTCTTGGGACCTGTGGCTTAGTTCCTGTAGTGAACTGTCCTCTGAACTATATTGTAAGTTATATTCATTCTCGTCAAGTTGATTGTGTTCCCTGTCTCACTGCTTATACATACCATCCCATTTATCTAAACCACAATAATGTTCTCCTGTTCCCAAATATATTATTGTACAAGGACTTAATAATAAACTGTTTGAGTAGAATAGTAATATTCACTGTCCCCATTATTTATTCTTATTTCCATTTATTTATGTTTAGTTAAAGTAGTGAGAGGGTGAGTAGTGTGGAGTGGTGGGTAGAGTAATGAGAGGTGAAGTTGTAGTCACCAGTGACCTCACATTACCTACCTACCTACCGCTCACCTCTCCTGTCATCTACCTACCAACCTCCGCACTCATCCCTCCTACTGCCTCGCCTGTCCCCTATTTACTGACTCCCTCTGCTTACCCCCACATTCCCCTAACCATCACCCCCCTACATGACATGGTGTCTAAGCGGTGGTGGTGGTTCTTATTTTTATAGTAGGAACCAGTCCCATGTGCCTTATTTTTGACTGCTCGGTTATACTTATGTTATGCTACCATTTTTTTTTCTTGTGTGTGTAAAGTAAATATCAATGTGATATTATAATCCTAGTGACCTTAACTGACCTTTTTTCAGACGGTGGAGTTGGTTGTTGGTTTGAGACAAATGGTGGAGAATATCAGTATTTGGGTGAGACTTTTGGTGGAAGCAATTACTGGCCGAAATTGAATATTTACAGAGGAACGAGAAGTCACCCAGCCTGCCTGGGAAGACTAGCCCACAACTGTCACCCACTGAAGAGATGCCTATGATTATTATCCACCTGATGTGCCCAGTCACTCAGTTGATGTGCCCCAGTAGATGTATTGCTGCCCTGGTCTGTCATCCATTGTAGTGGGTGTCTGTCTGCGTCACCCAGCCTCTGTGACCATCACCCACGGACCGCCAGTTACCCGCAGTTGCCAGGGATGGGTGACCGCACCTGCTGTTGATGACATGACGTGACCTCACCTCACCTAACCTCGAGCAACTGTCCATAGCTTGCTGCTGCTGATGTCTGCTGCTTATGATGCTACGGTTTACTGAGATGCTGTAGCCATGCTGTGATGCTGTGGCAGTGCTGTGTGCTGCTGTGATCAGATGCTGTGGCTGTGCGGTGATGTTGAGACGCTGCGGCCGTGCTGTGATGCTGGGACCGTGCTGCGATGCTGTAGCCATGCTGCGATGCTGTGGCCGTGCTGTGTGCTGCTGTGATACGGCCGTGCTGTGATGATGGATATGCTGTGGCCGTGCTGCGATGCTGCCTAGCTCAAGAGGAGATGGCGGTGATGCTGCAGTGGTGTGTGAGGGATTCTGGCTGGTGTGCCAGGACAGGAGAATCTACTATGAAGGAGTTGCCATCCTCGGAGATGTGTTAGGACATGAGCCGTGGAGATGGACTCCAGCTGCTGGGACCAGCCTGTTTTCAAGAGCGGTATGGAGGTGTATCCTGCCTTGCTGGTCGACCTGTACGACCGGTATGCGGTGATGTCCTGCCAGCCATGAGAGACAATTAAGAGTGTGTCCCCAGCCTACTTTGATAGAAGTGTTAGTGTTACCTGTGTGAAATAAGGTGACCTTGAATACTGTCCAGTGATTATGGCCGCCTTGTTTTATGAGGCCAGTGAATCCTAGTAGTGGCATAGGATAATGGAGGGTCTTAGCTGCGATGCCTGCCCTGTCTCGATTTTCAGATGTTGTAGTGTGCATGTGAAGTGTGCCGAAAATGCGACCTTGGTGGTCGTGAAGTGGTCCAGTTGCAGTTACTTGAAAGAATGTAACCCGTTGGAGCAGTTTTCCACGTCATAGAAGCCTAGAGAGGTTTGGCCCAATGGTTAACGTGCGAGGGTGACTAGCATTGGCTAGTGCATTTCTAGTAGAAGTAGGGAAGGCACTGGAGCCCGATATTTAGGTTTAAGGAGAAATGACGGGTAAGGAGGCTTTGCACCAAAGAGCAACTGTTATGCTGGCCAACTGCCAGGTGTACTGATTACGCTGCCTTGTGGTAGATGAGAAGGTTGAGGGAAATATATGTAGTTGAATAATTTTGTATTATGTATAATTTTGTCTTTGTATTGTAATAGAATTAAGGGGTTAGGATTAAAATAGTCTAATAACTAGGACAAATTGTCCTAGTTCTCAGATACTTTAAATTGGGGGAGAAAGGGGGATGTGATGTAGTTCAGCTGGGCTTGTGAGATCTCTGGGGAGACCTAATTTAACCAATTATATGGTCACACCTTGCCTTGGCAAACGTCTGTGCCACGCCCACGTCTGAGGTCTTTTGTTCTTGACGGCGTCAGACCTAGGCGTCAGGTCGTACACGTGGTTGTGGAGGGTGCTTGGACCACCATAAAAGCCCAAGGAAGAGCCTGAGCAGAGATTCGAGCGGAGCTGCTGCTGGGGTGCAGGGCTCGGGAGAAGGCTGCTGAAGTCTCTGGAGGAGAGACTGTTGGAGACATTGGGCAGAGTACTGGCTTGGCGCAGTACTCGTGCTGTGTAGGTCTTGGGACCTGTGGCTTAGTTCCTGTGATGAACTGTCCTCTGAACTATATTGTAAGTTATATTCATTCTCGTCAGGTTGATTGTGTTCCCTGTCTCACTGCTTATACATACCATCCCATTTATCTAAACCACAATGATGTACTCCTGTTCCCAAATATATTATTGTACAAGGACTTAATAATAAACTGTGTTTGAGTAGAATAGTAATATTCACTGTCCCCGTTATTTATTCTTATTTCCATTTATTTATGTTTAGTTCAAGTAGTGAGAGGGTGAGTAGTGTAGTGTGGAGTGGTGGGTAGAGTAATGAGAGGTGAAGTTGTAGTCACCAGTGACCTCACCTACCTACCGACCTCTGCACTCATCCCTCCTACTGCCTCGCCTGTCCCCTACCTACTGACTCCCTCCTCTTACCCCCATATTCCCCTAATCATTACCCCCCTACATGACAACAGTTATCACATAAGTCATCACATCAGTCATCATGTAAGTCGATAAATTAGACACATGTGCAACTCTTGGGTATCTTTATTGAGGAAACGTTTCGCCACACAGTGGCTTCATCAGTCCATACGTAGGAGAAACTTGAAGAACAGGAGAAGAATGAGGTAATCAGTCCCTCAACCTTGAGTCGATGTGTTCAGTCCATCAATCTTGAATAGAATACGGCATATCAGCGGAGAAGCAGCTTATAAACCGTATGGCAGGAGAGGTGCAGCAGTCATAGGTGGTGTCACATTTGTTCAATGTGGAAGTAGGTCGTGCCCAAGAATTAGGCAAGCCATACGGTCGTGCCCAAGAATTAGGCAAGCCATACGGTTTATAAGCTGTTTCTCCGCTGATATGCCGTATTCTATTCAAGATTGATGGACTGAACACATCGACTCAAGGTTGAGGGACTGATTACCTCATTCTTCTCCTGTTCTTCAAGTTTCTCCTGTGTATGGACTGATGAAGCCACTGTGTGGCGAAACGTTTCCTCAATAAAGATACCCAAGAGTTGCACATGTGTCTAATTTATCAACATGTCGGTTCTCTGAACCATTCTTCTACAAATCATGTAAGTCATCACATGACAGTTATCACATCAGTCATCACATGATATCACATAAGTCATCACATGACAGTTATCACATAAGTCATCACATAAGTTATCACATCAGTCATCACATATCACATAAGTCATCACATGACAGTTATCACATCAGTCATCAGATGAGTCATCATGTAAGTCATATGACAGTTATCACATCAGTCACATGAGTCATCACATGACAACTACAATATTAACAACACACTTTTTCCAAATTTTGAAGTAGTCATGGGACAAGACCAAAATTTTGCTCATGGTAAGCATCATGATAGGCCTGTGATAGGCCTATCATGTTCCAGGGTGCAGTAGGATGTTGCAGGTTGCAACAAGAGAGTTTCGTGTTGCAATAGAGTGTTCCAGCTCTTGCATGGGGGGAGGCTTCAGGAACCTCCAGGAGTGGCAGAGAAGCACCTCATCTCGCGAGTACAGATCAATGGACGCCTCCGGAATCTCGTCTCCAGCAATTGAATATAAAGATGTAAATCAGACTGGCTTAAGCAGCCAATAACAATGTCTTTCCAATGAAGGAGGAGGAGGAGGGTAGTTGAAGTTCCTCTCCTCGTATATATACATCTTACTGTCGTCCAGTGAACACATTAAGAATTGATTTGACTTCCAGGGAAGGCAGAATGCTGGCTGAGGCACTCCAGAACTCACCTTCCTGGCTGAGGCGCTCCAGAACTCACCTTCCTGGCTGAGGCGCTCCAGAACTCACCTTCCTGGCTGAGGCACTCCAGAACTCACCTTCCTGACTGAGGCGCTCCAGAACTCACCTTCCTGGCTGAGGTGCTCCAGAACTCGCCTTCCTGGATGAGGCGCTCCAGAACTCACCTTCCTGGCTGAGGCGCTCCAGAACTCACCTTCCTGGCTGAGGCGCTCCAGAACTCACCTTCCTGGCTGAGGCACTCCAGAACTCACCTTCCTGGCTGAGGCGCTCCAGAACTCACCTTCCTGGCTGAGGCGCTCCAGAACTCACCTTCCTGGCTGAGGCGCTCCAGAACTCACCTTCCTGGCTGAGGCGCTCCAGAACTCACCTTCCTGGCTGAGGCGCTCCAGAACTCACCTTCCTGGCTGAGGCGCTCCAGAACTCACCTTCCTGGCTGAGGCGCTCCAGAACTCACCTTCCTGGCTGAGGCGCTCCAGAACTCACCTTCCTGGCTGAGGCGCTCCAGAACTCACCTTCCTGGCTGAGGCGCTCCAGAACTCACCTTCCTGGCTGAGGCGCTCCAGAACTCACCTTCCTGGCTGAGGCGCTCCAGAACTCACCTTCCTGACTGAGGCGCTCCAGAACTCACCTTCCTGGCTGAGGCGCTCCAGAACTCACCTTCCTGACTGAGGCGCTCCAGAACTCACCTTCCTGACTGAGGCGCTCCAGAACTCACCTTCCTGGCTGAGGCGCTCCAGAACTCACCTTCCTGGCTGAGGCGCTCCAGAACTCACCTTCCTGACTGAGGCGCTCCAGAACTCACCTTCCTGACTGAGGCGCTCCAGAACTCACCTTCCTGGCTGAGGCGCTCCAGAACTCACCTTCCTGGCTGAGGCGCTCCAGAACTCACCTTCCTGGCGGAGGCGCTCCAGAACTCACCTTCCTGGCTGAGGCGCTCCAGAACTCACCTTCCTGGCTGAGGCGCTCCAGAACTCACCTTCCTGGCGGAGGCGCTCCAGAACTCACCTTCCTGGCTGAGGCGCTCCAGAACTCACCTTCCTGGCTGAGGCGCTCCAGAAACTCACCTTCCTGGCTGAGGCGCTCCAGAACTCACCTTCCTGGCGGAGGCGCTCCAGAACTCACCTTCCTGGCTGAGGCGCTCCAGAACTCACCTTCCTGGCTGAGGCGCTCCAGAACTCACCTTCCTGGCTGAGGCGCTCCAGAACTCACCTTCCTTAACTCTGGTCACACTTATGATTTGCGTTTAAAGTATTATTCATCTTCGTTTCTTCCTGGTTCTTCTTCTCCTCGTCGTCTCCTCCTCCTTCAACTGGTGGAGGGTGTCAGTACACTTCTTTGTCAGCAAACCAGTGTCTCCTGACACTTGTTTTATTTGTCAGCAAACCAGTGTCTCCTGACACTTGTTTTATTTGTCAGCGAACAAGACAAAGTGTCTCCTGACACAGGTCTGTGTCAGACGACTCGTGACACAAAATTATTCCTTGATCTGACTCGTTAGATACCTGGAGACAGCTCCGAGGATCAACGCCCCCGCGGCCAGGTCAGATTTGCCAGGTCACATTTGCTCGGATTTTTAACCCAGAGGGTTAGCCAGCCAGGATAACCTGGGGTAGGGAGTGTTAGCCAGCCAAGATAACCTGGGGTAGGGAGTGTTAGCCAGCCATGATAACCCAAAAAAGTTAAAATTGACTTATTTCCAATGTGGACCTTGTATTTCCAGTGTGGACCTTGTATTTCCAGTGGGGACCCTGTATTTCCAGTGTGACCTTGTATTTCCAATGTGGACCTTGTATTTCCAATGTGGACCTTGTATTTCCAATGTGGACCTTGTATTTCCAGTGGGAACCTTGTATTTCCAGTGGGAACCTTGTATTTCCAGTGGGAACCTTGTATTTCCAGTGGGAACCTTGTATTTCCAGTGGGAACCTTGTATTTCCAGTGGGAACCTTGTATTTCCAGTGGGAACCTTGTATTTCCAGTGGGAGACTGCTTACACCCAATTTTAATCACTACAAAGGATCACTCTAAATTTTTTAGTTGTGTAGTGTTGCGGTCAGGATGTTGAGAGTTGTTGTTCTTTGTGTTGCTTCTGTATGTGTTGTTTACACTGTGGAGGCTTACCTGACTCCATCTATGGTGTGTGTAGGCTTACCTGACTCCATCTATGGTGTGTGTACACTGAGTGTAGGCTTACCTGCCTCCATCAATGGTGTGTATACACTGAGAGTAGGCTTACCTGACTCCATCAATGGTGTGTATACACTGAGAGTAGGCTTACCTGACTCCATCAATGGTGTGTTCAGAGCCTAGTGCCGAGTCAGCTCCCCAGTGGAAGTGGAACTGAGCAAAGATATAATCTCCCTTAAGCCCACCGTCAGTGACGCGGGGAGCCGATGCTGCATCTATCTCAACCTGAGCTGGGGTGTGAATAAGTGCATAAGAATGGAGGAACACTATAGTAGGCCTACTGGGCCCATGCTAGACAGGTCTTTCTCAAACCCAGCCCCTCCTACTCATACATTTGTCCAATCTCTCTTAAAGCTACGTAAGGTTTTAGCTTCTGTTTATCTGGAGAGAGTTCCGGGGGTCAACGCCCCCGCGACCCGGTCTGTGACCAGGCCTCCTTAGGTCAGTGTCCCAGGATGCGACCCACACCAGTCGACTAACACCCAGGTACCCATTTTACTGATGGGGAACATGGACAACAGGTGGAAAGAAACACGTCCAATGTTTCTACTCTGGCTGGGAATCGAACCCAGGCTCTCACCGTGTGAAGCCAGAGCGTTAACCACCAGGCCACCAGAGCTCGGGAGATTGTTCCACTGCTCGGGAGATTGTTCCACTCGTCTACAACTCTGAAAACCAGTACTTATCTATGTCCTTTCTAAATCTAGGTACATATACAGATAAGGATGGTATAACCCCTGATAATAGATACCAACAAATTGATTTAGAGAGGAGTAAACACTAGGACATGTTGGAAAACATTTCACTCCTGAGATCTTAATAACTTTTAACATAGGTTAAAAAGACAGTATGCATAGGTGGAGTGACAGTATACATAGGTGGAGTGACAGTATACATAGGTGGAGTGACAGTATACATAGGTGGAGTGACAGTATACATAGGTGGAGTGACAGTATACATAGGTGGAGTGACAGTATACATAGGTGGAGAGACAGTATACATAGGTGGAGAGACAGTATACATAGGTGGAGAGACAGTATACATAGATGGAGAGAGTATACATAGGTGGAGAGACAGTATACATGGATGGAGAGAGTATACATAGGTGGAGAGACAGTATACATAGGTGGAGAGACAGTATACATAGATGGAGAGAGTATACATAGGTGGAGAGACAGTATGCATAGGTGGAGTGACAGTATACATAGGTGGAGAGACAGTATACATAGGTGGAGAGACAGTATACATAGGTGGAGTGACAGTATACATAGGTGGAGAGGAGTATACATAGGTGGAGAGACAGTATACATGGTGGAGAGAGTATACATAGGTGGAGTGACAGTATACTAAGGTGGAGAGGACAGTATACATAGGTGAGAGGAGTATACATAGGTGGAGAGACAGTATGCATAGGTGGAGTGACAGTATACATAGGTGGAGAGACAGTATACATAGGTGGAGAGACAGTATACATAGGTGGAGAGACAGTATACATAGATGGAGAGAGTATACATAGGTGGAGAGACAGTATACATAGATGGAGAGAGTATACATAGGTGGAGTGACAGTATACATAGATGGAGAGAGTATACATAGGTGGAGAGACAGTATACATAGATGGAGAGAGTATACATAGGTGGAGAGACAGTATACATAGTTTGGAGAGAGTATACATAGGTGGAGAGACAGTATACATAGATGGAGAGAGTATACATAGGTGGAGAGACAGTATACATAGATGGGAGAGAGTATACATAGGTGGAGAGACAGTATACATAGGTGGAGAGAGTTTACATAGGTGGAGAGAGACAGTATACATAGGTGGTGGGGAGTATACATAGGTGGAGAGACAGTATACATAGATGGAGAGAGTATACATAGGTGGAGAGACAGTATACATAGTGGGAGACAGATCTGAGGGGATACATAGGTGGAGAGACAGTATACATAGGTGGGAGAGAGTATACATAGGTGGAGAGACAGTATGCATAGGTGGAGTGACAGTATACATAGATGGAGAGACAGTATACATAGATGGAGAGAGTATACATAGGTGGAGGGGACAGTATACATAGGTGGGAGAGAGTATACATAGGTGGGGGAGAGACAGTATCAATAGATGGAGAGAGTATACATAGGTGGAGAGACAGTATACATAGATGGAGAGAAGTATACATAGGTGGAGAGACAGTATACATAGATGGAGAGAGTATACATAGGTGGAGAGACAGTATACATAGGTGGGAGAGAGTATACATAGGTGGAGAGAGACAGTATACATAGGTGGTGAGAGACAGTATACATAGGTGGAGAGACAGTATACATAGATGGAGAGAGTATACATAGGTGGAGAGACAGTATACATAGGTGGAGAGACAGTATACATAGGTGGAGAGACAGTATACATAGATGGAGAGAGTATACATAGGTGGAGAGACAGTATACATAGGGGGAGAGAGTATACATAGGTGGAGAGACAGTATACATAGGTGGGAGAGAGTATACATAGGTGGAGAGAGACAGTATACATAGGTGGTGAGAGACAGTATACATAGGTGGGAGAGAGTATACATAGGTGGAGAGAGACAGTATACATAGGTGGGAGAGAGTATACATTGGTGGAGAGAGACAGTATACATAGGTGGAGAGAGACAGTATACATAGGTGGTGAGAGACAGTATTGTGACGACGTCTCGCTCTGTGTAGAGCTTGATAAAGCTCTATGATCTACCTCTAATACCCAGGACAAGTATTATTGCCACTTGCCCTGGTTTACAAACAGTTGTATTGAACACTTACTACTACTGCTACTTTCAATTCCTTCTTCAAGATTGATGGATTGATCACATCAACTCAAGGCTGAGGGACTGACTACGTCAAACTCCTCCAGATCTTCACCATTCTTTACTGTATTGGACTGATGACGCCACTGTGTAGGTGAAACATTTCCTCAGTAAACATACACAAGTGTTGCTCAAGTGATTTATCAACTTGTTGGTAATAAACAGTTGTTTACGAGAGGCACGAACACGTAAACAAAGTTGATGGATCATATACTGAGATTGTAGGTCTACCATACACTGTGTAGGTCTACCATACACTGTGTAGGTCTCCCATACACTGTGTAGGTCTCCCATACACTGTATAGGTCTACCATACACTGTGTAGGTCTACCATACATGTGTAGGTCTACCATACACTGTGTAGGTCTACCATTACACTGTGTAGGTCTACCATACAAATGTGTAGGTCTACCATACACTGTGTAGGTCTACCATACACTGTGTAGGTCTACCATACACTGTGTAGGTCTACCATACACTGTGTAGGTCTACCATACACTGTGTAGGTCTACCATACACTGTGTAGGTCTACCATACACTGTGTAGTGTCTACCATACACTGTGTAGGTCTACCATACACTGTGTAGGTCTCCATACACTGTGTAGGTCTACCATTTCACTGTGTAGGTCTACCATACACTGTGTAGGTCTACCATACACTGTGTAGGTCTACCATACACTGTGTAGGTCTACCATACACTGTGTAGGTCTACCATACACTGTGTAGGTCTACCATACACTGTGTAGGTCTCCCATACACTGTGTAGGTCTACCATACACTGTATAGGTCTCCCATACACTGTGTAGGTCTCCCATACACTGTATAGGTCTCCCATACACTGTGTAGGTCTACCATACACTGTGTAGGTCTACCATACACTGTGTAGGTCTACCATACACTGTGTAGGTCTACCATACACTGTGTAGGTCTACCATACACTGTGTAGGTCTACCATACACTGTGTAGGTCTACCATACACTGTGTAGGTCTACCATACACTGTGTAGGTCTACCATACACTGTGTAGTCTACCATACACTGTGTAGGTCTACCATACACAGTGTAGGTCTACCATACACTGTGTAGGTCTACCATACACTGTGTAGGTCTACCATACACAGTGTAGGTCTACCATACACTGTGTAGGTCTACCATACACTGTGTAGGTCTACCATACACTGTGTAGGTCTACCATACACTGTGTAGGTCTACCATACACTGTGTAGGTCTACCATACACTGTGTAGGTCTACCATACACAGTGTAGGTCTACCATACACTGTGTAGGTCTACCATACACAGTGTAGGTCTACCATACACTGTGTAGGTCTACCATACACAGTGTAGGTCTACCATACACTGTGTAGGTCTACCATACACTGTGTAGGTCTACCATACACAGTGTAGGTCTACCATACACTGTGTAGGTCTACCATACACTGTGTAGGTCTACCATACACTGTGTAGGTCTACCATACACTGTGTAGATCTACCATACACTGTGTAGATCTACCATACACTGTGTAGGTCTACCATACACTGTGTAGATCTACCATACACTGTGTAGATCTACCATACACTGTGTAGGTCTACCATACACTGTGTAGGTCTCCCATACACTGTGTAGGTCTACCATACACTGTGTAGATCTACCATACACTGTGTAGATCTACCATACACTGTGTAGGTCTACCATACACTAGATCTACCATACACTGTGTAGGTCTACCATACACTGTGTAGGTCTACCATACACTGTGTAGATCTACCATACACTGTGTAGGTCTACCATACACTGTGTAGGTCTACCATACACTGTGTAGGTCTACCATACACTGTGTAGGTCTACCATACACTGTGTAGATCTACCATACACTGTGTAGATTACCATACACTGTGTAGGTCTACATACACTGTGTAGATCTACCATACACTGTGTAGACTACCATACACTGTGTAGGTCTACCATACACTAGATCTACCATACACTGTGTAGGTCTACCATACACTGTGTAGGTCTACCATACACTGTGTAGATCTACCATACACTGTGTAGGTCTACCATACACTGTGTAGGTCTACCATACACTGTGTAGATCTACCATACACTGTGTAGGTCTACCATACACTGTGTAGGTCTACCATACACTGTGTAGGTCTGCCATACACTGTGTAGGTCTGCCATACACTGTGTAGGTCTACCATACACTGTGTAGGTCTGCCATACACTGTGTAGGTCTACCATACACTGTGTAGGTCTACCATACACAGTGTAGGTCAAACCATACACTGTGTAGGTCTACCATACACTGTGTAGGTCTACCATACACAGTGTAGGTCTACCATACACTAGATCTACCATACACTGTGTAGGTCTACCATACACTGTGTAGGTCTACCATACACTGTGTAGGTCTGCCATACACTGTGTAGGTCTACCATACACTGTGTAGGTCTGCCATACACTGTGTAGGTCTACCATACACTGTGTAGGTCTACCATACACAGTGTAGGTCTACCATACACTGTGTAGGTCTACCATACACTGTGTAGGTCTACCATACACAGTGTAGGTCTACCATACACTGTGTAGGTCTACCATACACTGTGTAGGTCTACCATACACTGTGTAGGTCTACCATACACTGTGTAGGTCTACCATACACTGTAGGTCTACCATACACTGTAGATCTACCATACACTGTGTAGGTCTACCATACACTGTGTAGATCTACCATACACTGTGTAGATCTACCATACACTGTGTAGGTCTACCATACACTAGATCTACCATACACTGTGTAGGTCTACCATACACTGTGTAGGTCTACCATACACTGTGTAGATCTACCATACACTGTGTAGGTCTACCATACACTGTGTAGGTCTACCATACACTGTGTAGATCTACCATACACTGTGTAGGTCTACCATACACTGTGTAGGTCTACCATACACTGTGTAGGTCTACCATACACTATGTATGATATTGTCAAACATTCCACTATGGTTCAGTAGCTACGACAACTTCAGTAGTGTGATGATGATATTGTCAAACATTCCACTATGGTTCAGTAGCTACGACAACTTCAGTAGTGTGATGATGATATTGTCAAACATTCCACTATGGTTCAGTAGCTACGACAACTTCAGTAGTGTGATGATGATATTGTCAAACATTCCACTATGGTTCAGTAGCTACGACAACTTCAGTAGTGTGATGATGATATTGTCAAACATTCCACTATGGTTCAGTAGCTACGACAACTTCAGTAGTGTGATGATGATATTGTCAAACATTCCACTATGGTTCAGTAGCTACGACAACTTCAGTAGTGATGATGATACTGTCAAACATTCCACTATGGTTCAGTAGCTACGACAACTTCAGTAGTGATGATGATATTGTCAAACATTCCACTATGGTTCAGTAGCTACGACAACTTCAGTAGTGATGATGATATTGTCAAACATTCCACTATGGTTCAGTAGCTACGACAACTTCAGTAGTGTGATGATGATATTGTCAAACATTCCACTATGGTTCAGTAGCTACGACAACTTCAGTAGTGATGATGATACTGTCAAACATTCCACTATGGTTCAGTAGCTACAGGAGCCTCAAAGGTTACAATGCACAAAGCTGCAGTTAAAATTACGGTGTAAATGAGTCTAGCAACATTGATGATGTGGTCAACTAGACATCAATATCTCTCAACACAACAGAATTTCCCAGGAAAATCTGTGTCCACCTGAACCAGAGTCAGATTTCCTGATTTTCCCTGACAATAAAAGCATTGGTGTAGTGTTTCCTGTCCTGTGTGTGTATGTACACTCACCTATATGTGGTTACAGGGGTTGATTCACAGCTCTTGGCCCCTTCTCTTCGTTGGTTGCAACTAGGTCCACTCCCTGCTCCATTGACCTTATGTGTGTGGGGGGGGTTACCTATATGTGACTGCAGGGATCGAATCACAGCTCCTGGCCCCGCCTCTTGGTTGCTACTAGGTCCACACACACACCCTGCTCCATTAAATTTATCATGCCTCTTCTTAAAGCTATGTATAGGTCCTGCCTCCACTACATCACTCTCCAGACTGTTCCGCTTTCTGACAATCCTATGGCTGAAGAAATACTTCCTAACATCCCTAGCTTCTGTTGGGAAAAGTTTTAGCTCTATGTAGAGCTTTCACAAGTAGTGATAAAGCTCTACAGAGTGAAACAAGATAAAGCTCTACACAGAGTGAAACACGAAGCTCTACACAGAGAGAAACGTCACATATAGTTACTCCCACCTCCGTTATTCCCCGCACTACGTCATTCTGACGCAAACTACGAACGTACCAGAGTGGCCGTTGTTTTTGACGCGCATGCGCGTGGGTGGGTCATCGTAGTTCTTGAAGCGCAGCGGCTTCCAGAACTCTGTCTTGACGTTGGCTGTCTCGATGTTGATGGGCGACTGACGGTTACCAGCGCAGGTTCGAAACATCGTCCCCCAGTGCCTTGGACCTGGAGGGCGAGACGTCGTAGCCAACAGTCTGGGTTATTGTTTTTTTGAGGATATTTGGTTTTAGGGGTCAGTCCCAGAGCAGGAAGTACACACACACACGCACACACACACACACAAAACACACACACACACACACACACACACACACACACACACACACACACACACACACACACACACACACACACACACCACACAAAGGTACACAAGGGATACAGACACACACAAGGCATATACAAGGGATACACAAAAGTGCTACGAACACACACACACAAGGGATACTCACACACAAGGGATACTCACACACAAGGGATACTCACACACAAGGGATACTCACACACAAGGGACACACACACAAGGGATACGCACACACAAGGGATACTCACACACAAGGGATACTCACACACAAGGGATACTCACACACAAGGGACACACACACAAGGGATACGCACACACAAGGGATACTCACACACAAGGGATACTCACACACAAGGGACACACACACAAGGGATACTCACACACAAGGGACACTCACACACAAGGGATACTCACACACAAGGGACACACACACACAAGGGACACACACAAGGGACACACACACAAGGGATACTCACACACAAGGGATACTCACACACAAGGGATACTCACAAACAAGGGATACTCACACACAAGGGATACGCACACACAAGGGATACTCACACACAAGGGATACTCACACACAAGGGACACACACACACGGGATACTCACACACAAGGTATACTCACACACAAGGGATACTCACAAGGGATACACACAAGGGATACTCACACACAAGGGATACTCACACACAAGAGATACACACAAGGGATACTCACACACAAGGGATACTCACAAGGGACACTCACACACAAGGGATACTCACACACGAGATACACACAAGGGATACTCACACACAAGGGACACTCACACACAAGGGACACTCACACACAAGGGATACTCACACACAAGGGACACTCACACACAAGGGATACTCACACACGAGATACACACAAGGGATACTCACACACAAGGGATACTCACCATGTTGACCACTGTAGGTCCAGGAAGCTCCTCCATCTCCTCTCACATCTGAAAAAAAAATTAAAAGCTTAAAAGCTGACCAAATATATACGCTAAGCTTAGCATGCAACAAGAGTAATAAGCTTACACCAGGCTTACGTAGCTTACACCAGGCTTACGTAGCTTACACCAGGCTTACGTAGCTTACACTAGGCTTACGTAGCTTACACTAAGCTTACACCAGGCTTACGTAGCTTACACTAAGCTTACACCAGGCTTACGTAGCTTACACTAAGCTTATACCAGGCTTACGTAGCTTACACTAAGCTTACACCAGGCTTACGTAGCTTACACCAGGCTTACGTAGCTTACACTAAGCTTACACCAGGCTTATGTAGCTTACACCAGGCTTACGTAGCTTACACTAAGCTTACACCAGGCTTACGTAGCTTACACTAAGCTTACACTAGGCTTACGTAGCTTACACCAGGCTTACGTAGCTTACACTAAGCTTACACCAGGCTTACGTAGCTTACACCAGGCTTACGTAGCTTACACTAAGCTTACACCAGGCTTACGTAGCTTACACTAAGCTTACACTAGGCTTACGTAGCTTACACCAGGCTTACGTAGCTTACACTAAGCTTACACCAGGCTTACGTAGCTTGCACTAAGCTTACACCAGGCTTACGTAACTTACACTAAGCTTACACCAGGCTTACGTAGCTTACACCAGGCTTACGTAGCTTACACCAGGCTTACGTAGCTTACACCAGACTTACTAAGCTCACACCAGGTTTACTAGGCTTACACCAGGCTTACTAAGCCTACAACAAGCTTACTAAGTTTATACCAAGCTTACTAAGCTTACACCAAGCTTAATTGATATTGATAGATATTGATACATATATATTTTTAAATATCAATGCATATTTGATAGATACTTGATAGATATATTGATATATTGATAGATAGTTGATAGACATTGATATATATTTGATACTCGATAGATATTTGATAAATATTTGGTGTTTTATTATCTATTGTTACAGTTGACATGCCAGAATGTTGTTTTAATTAATACCCAGGGTATTATTACTCATGGTATTAATACCTGGGAAAATGATGGGATGGATAATTAGGACCTTCAAAACAAGGGACGGATAACTAGAACCTTCAAAACAAGGGACGGATAACTAGAACCTTCAAAACAAGGGACGGATAACTAGAACCTTCAAAACAAGGTATGGATAACTAGACTTTTCAAAACAAGGGATAGATAACTAGAACCTTCAAAACAAGGGATAGATAACTAAAACCTTCAAAGCAAGGGATAGATAACTAGAACCTTCAAAACAAGGGATGGATAACTAGAACCTTCAAAACAAGGGATAGATAACTAGAATCTTCAAAACTAGTGATGGATAACTAGAACCTTCAAAACAAGGGATAGATAACTAGAACCCTCAAAACAAGGGGTGGATAACTAGAACCTTCAAAACAAGGGGTGGATAACTAGAACCTTCAAAACAAGGGACAGATAACTAGAACCTTCAAAACAAGGTAGGGAAAAACTAGCCCTTCAAAAAAAGGGATAATAACTAAAACAATCAAAGGTATGGAAAATGCCCCCTAAAAAAAGGGTTGGATAATAGAACCCTAAAAACAAGGGAGGATAATAGAACCTCAAAACAGGGATGGGAAAAAACCTTCAAACTGCCAAACAATGATGTATATTTAATCCTTGTTCTGTCTGTTGAATTTTGTTGAACTCTAACAGCCACTTTAAAGGAAGGTAAAATTGCAGCACTGGAGAAAGTACAGAGAACTTTCACTGTACGTCTAGGTACAATCAAGCACCTTAATTACTGGGAATGGTTGAAGTCCCTTGCGTGTACTCCCGGGAATGAGGAGACTGAGATACGTCATAATTTACCCCTGGAAAATCTAGGGGAAACTGGTGCCAAATCTACATCAAAAATCACTCCCTGTGACAGCAGAAGACTTGACGCACGTTCAACATTCCATCATAAAAAGCAAAGTTTTGTGAGTACTTGAGAGAGCAGTAAGTGTCGGGCCCCCAAAAGATGTTCAGCAGCCTCTCGGAAAAAAATGGGTTTCCCAAATTATCCCTTTTGGTTGCTTCAGACCCCTGGTTGTGTTAAACCCCCCTGGTTGTCTTCAAGACGACCTCGTTTTTCGCCCCCTGGTTGTTTAAAACCTCTCGTTGTTTTAAACCCTGGTTGTCTTCAAGACCCCCTCTTGTCTTCAGACCCCGGGTTTGTTTAAACCCCCTTTTTTGTCTTCAAGACCTTTGTTTCAGACCCCTGGTTGTCTTCGCCCCCTGGTTTTTCAAGACCTCGTTGTCTTAAACCCCCTGGTTGTCTTCAAGATTTGGGTTTGTCTGTGGTTACTAAGTTGGACAGTATGCCCAGCCGGTGTGGAAGGAGCTGATCCACCGTGGGGGCGGGTCATGGCCCGGGCCACAGGGGGCGCTGACCCCCAACAACCTCCAGATAGAAAAAATCTCTTAAAAAATTTACCTCGACAGATAACAAAAATAATATTTTGTAAAAAAAAGTCAGGAGAGAAACAAGATGGGGGGGGATAGCGAGTGGGAAATGGGAGGGGCTAGGTGGATGGGGAGGGGCTAGGTGGATAGGGGGGCTATCCCTGCCGGGAACCCCCTTTCTCGACACAAGTGTAAAAGAACAGGAAAAAAGTGTTCAAAAATTTTGCCAAATTTTCCTTTCTTCCCTCCCCCTTCCCTTCCCCCCCCTTCCCCCCCTCCCTCTCCCTTTTCCCCACCCACCCCTAAAATCATCTCTCTTCCCCTAACCCCGCTCAAGAAAAACCCCCCCCTACCCAATCTCTCCCTTTTTTCCCCCCTCCTCCCCCCTCCTTCCCCCTCCACCCCCTCCTTCCCCCCTCTTCCCTCCCTGTTCCCCCCCCCCTGGCCACCACAGGATGGATTTTCGGCAACCGTAAAAAAATCTGATAGGTATTATACACGATTTCTCGTTAATTTTCTGGGAACCAGCGAGTGTAAATTGTTTAAACTTTAAGGAAAATTGTGCTTCTTCTCTTTCTCTCTTTCTCTCTCCTCTCTCTCTCTCTCTCCTTTTCCCCGGGTTTGACAAGGTTGGGACCCTAGCTTTATTGACAGCTATTTACAGGTTAAGGATTCCTAACTTTTTGCAAGTAAGAGTTTTCCACATCAGCTCTTTAAAAGCATTTTTTTGTTATGAGACTCAAGTAGGGAACAGGATGAATTGGCCATCTGGGGCCCAGTTTTTCTTTTGATCATGACGTTACTCTTTGGGAAAATCTTATCTTAGAAGTTTCCTATCGAGTCTTTGGGGATGTATGATCTCAGATGGGTGATTTTTCGGGGAGAAGGTACACCCGAGGAATTTTGCTGCGGGCTCCCCGTTTGTGGTATAGAAGCTTGCTTCACGCTGTCCTCGAATTTTGTTGTCTCTCTCCTCTCTTTTCTCTTTCTCGTCTCGTTGTCTGTTCTCTCTGTCTTTGTTTCCCTTCTCTCTCTCTTCTCTTCTCTTCTCTCTCCTCTCTCTCTCTCTCTCTGTCTGTTGTCTGTCTGTTGCTTCTTCTCTTCTCCCCTTTTCTCTCTCTCTCTTCTCCTCTCTCTCTCTCTCTCTCTCTACACAATGGCTTTAGGGGCTGGGTTAGAGGGGCCTGTCTTGTTGGGTCAGTGGCCTACAAAAAAATGAAAAAAGCTGGCGAGAGTAACACGGGTCAGGTGGGAAAGGGGGAAGGGGGCCCTTCTAACTTTTTTTTTTTCCCCTGTTGACATGATAGGCAGATAAAGGGGGGGATGTTATGTGAAGTATAGGGATGAGGGGGGGAAGGGGGAAAGGAAAAAAGGGAAGGAAGGGGGTGTAGGTAGCTTGGTCCCCCCCACAAGTTCTTTTCCAACATACATTCTTATCCCCCCCTTATGTCCCTGGATACTGTGCCCCTATTCCCTTTTTCCCCTACCCCCCGTGTTCTAGTCCCCCATGTGTCCCTATACCCACGTGTCCCTGTACCCAGTGTCCTAGTCCCCACGTGTTCCTACCCCCACGGTTCCAGTACCCACGTGTCCCTATACCCAGTGTTCTAGACCCAGTGCCCCTTACCCCGTGTTCCTAGTACCCACGTGTCCTGTACCCACGTTACTAGTACCCACGTGTCCCTAGTCCCCACGTTTTCCCCTAGTCCCCGTGTCCCTAATACCCACATGCCCCTAGTCCCCACGGTCCCTAGTCCCCCCGCGTTTTCCCTATACCCACATGCCCCTATACCCCCCGGTTTTTTTAACCCAGTGTCCCTATACCCACTTCACTAGTCCCCATGCCCCTAATACCCATGTTCCAAACTCACTGTCCCTGTCCCACATGACCTATACCCACTTTCCCCTAGTACCCACATGACCCTAGTCCCCACGTGTCCCTAGCCCCACGTACCTAGTCCCCCGTGTTCCAGTACCCACGTGCCCAGTCCTACGGCCCCTAGTACCCACGTGTCCCTATACCCACGGGCCCCTAGTACCAAGCGTCCTGTCCCCTGCCCCATACCATTTCCCTGTCCCCACGTTTTTAGTGCCCTACGGCCCCTAGTACCCACGTTTTCCTAGTACCCACGGTCCCTAGTCCCCACGTTCCCTTCCCCCACGTGCCCCCTATCCCACGTCCCCCTAGTACCAAATGATCCCTACTGAAAAACCCCAGGGCGTTTAATGTGTACGTTTATATCTAACCCGCCCGGGAAGTATTTCTGGGTGCAGGTAACAAGTACATTGGTTAGCAGGAACGCCCTACATGTAAACAAACCCTGCCTGGCGTTCTAGCATTTCTGAAAACATTGCAAGCTCCCGATAAGTTTTTGATCGCGAGACGAAAGGCCCGGTTGTTTTGCATAGAACACGGGCGGTCTGTCAGTTTAGCTGATGCTGAAGGCTTTCAGCGGCGCTAAAGTGTTTACACACACACCTGTGGAACGGAACACGGACAGCCCAAACGGACACGCACACAAAACGGATCACGTACCTAGTTTCTGGCCCCTTTGCA